GCGGGCTGAGGAGATCCCCTCGCCCACCGCACGACCCGCCTCCCGCCCTCCCACGGGGAGCGAAGGCTGGCACGGAGGGGAGCGGCCAGCCGTGGGCGGTCTCGTCGCTGCGCGCCACGCGTTTGAAATAACACCCGCAGTGTGGGCAAATGCCAGCATTAGTCCTTTTTCTAATAAAATAAAGCGCTCTCGGAGAGATGGAAAAGACTTAAAAGCATGTCAGGGCTACAGAACTTGATAAAATAGCAAAATTTGGAGCAACGGAATTCTCTCTTCCGAGTTGCCTGCTAATAGTGTACCACATAAGAGAGAGACTATAAATAAAAGATGGGGTTCATTTACTTTTCAGTAGGATCCCAGCTTCTGGAGTCAGGGAAAGCTGCTCCTGAGGCTGCGGTACAGACGTAAACCCAGGGACCGCGGATATCGAGTTCTTCCGCTTGGTGCTCGGCTGAGGAACGCTCATTGGGTCTGTGAAAATAGGAAGATGGACTTGAACAGGCTTTGTACAAGCTAATATTACAAACACAGTTGGCATCTCTGCTTTTTTTCACTTAAGCCATTGTTTTATGTGATTTACTAGCAATAGAAATAATGGATTTGCTCTGTTTTAATTAATGAATTGATTAAAATTAATTTGTGTAAATGTTTTAGCATAAAAACTGTTGTATCAGTCTCCTTTTTGAGTTTCTAAATGTGCTTGATGCTTCTGAAATGCACTGCAAATTCATCCAGTTTTAGAAATGTTTATTTTCTGCTTTTGGTGACAATGTGGTTGCATGATGCCTCGGGAGATTATTCTGATCCTGGAAGAGCGATGAGCTGCACAAAATTACAGACTTTTGGTGAGGAGAATTATCTTTAAGACGGAAGGGACTTGGTAAAATCCCTGTTTGGGGGATTTCCATGTGTTTGGGGGATTCCCATGTGTTCATATGCATTGTATTTTTGATATTTTTAAAGTAAAGATGAAAAAATGGAAAACAAAGAACAAGCTGAAATTTCAAAGAGTAGATTGTTTTATACTAAGAGTTTTTTACTGAGCTGACAATAGCCAGTATAAACATCCTAAACATTGTATCCGTTGGTAGCAATAATAATTAGAAACTTAAAATGTTTCTAATCTCATATGATGTCACTGTGGTATCAAAGTCCTTTAGAATAGACCAGTTTGATCCTGGCGTGGGTTGGTGCTCTTTCTCCAATCAGCATTTAAGAATGCGCTGCTTTTTATTTGCATTAAGCTGTCTAACCAGTTTTTTTGCAAGCCTAATGGATTAAATTTTATTTCCCGTTTCCTTAGCAGGGGTGAACTATCGGAGTGCTTTTTCTGTTGTTTACCTTCGGAGCAGACGGTTCTCATTCTTCTAGTTCTCCTGCGTAGAGCAGCTAACAGCCAGGTACACAGTGTCTGCTCGGATACTGTAGTAGTTTCTCCGGGAAATCTAGTCATGTTAAAACACAGCCTATTTTTGTTCACTTTTGGACTAACTTTAACTGGAAAACCTTTTTGGATAAAAGGTAAGCTTTCAGTTTTTGTTACGTATTCAGAAAGTTTCTCCAAGTCTTCTTGTACTCTCCGGTCCTGGTTGTAATGATGCACACCTTTCAAATCGAGTCACGGCTCTGCCCAGGTATTAGGCTATTAGCTGACCTGCTAATTGAGAAAATCTTGTTCAAGAAGAAAAATGTCTGGAAAAGATTACAGGTTGAAGCTTTTTATAGTTGAGCTCTTTGTGGTTTTTTCTCCAGGATGTAGTAGGTATGTAAATACATCATCCTCTGTACAGGACACTGTTTGTGACAACTGCAGTTACTGTTGCTCTCATCAGTAGTAAAGACTTTGCCTGTCGGAAAAGGACCTGGGGGTGTTGGTCGACAGCCGGCTGAACATGAGCCGGCAGTGTGCCCAGGCGGCCAAGAAGGCCAATGGCATCCTGGCCTGTATCAGAAATAGTGTGGCCAGCAGGAGTAGGGAAGTGATCGTACCCCGGTACTCGGCCCTGGTGAGGCCGCCCCTCGAATACTGTGTTCAGTTTTGGGCCCCTCACTACAAGAAGGACGT